AAGCATTTGATTGTGTGGATCATAACAAATTGTGGATAGCATTCGCCTAATATCCAGCAATTCTGAGGTAGCTACACTGTTTTCTCTACCTCCACAGCAACTCTACTTGACAAAAAAGAAAAGGAAGGGGGCAAAAATACAGAAATAAAAGGGAAAGACAATATAGAAAGCAATGCAGGAAAATGATTAATCTTTGGAGTATGACTTCAGTTCCCAGCTCCTTTATTTAACAGCTGTGTAATATTGGACAAGTGCATGCATTCCTTTACTAAACAAACATTTGTAGAGCACCATGAGTCATCAAATTTGCCTTGGTTTCCTCATCTGTAAAATGGGGACAATAGCTTTGACCTCATAGATTTATGCTGAGTTAATGCAAGGAGTTAATGCATGAAAAGTTCTCAGTACTAGGCCTGGCACACAGTATGACTCAATGAAGATTAGTCATTCTTACTAATAAAGGGGAAAACTTTAGCCTTTGTGGGGAGCTCTGGTGGTGTAGTGCCTAAGGCACTTGACTGCTAACCAGAAGACTGGCGGTTCAAACCCACCAGCCACTCCTCGGAAGGAAGGTTGGACAATCTACTTCTGTAGTGATACCATCTCTGAAACCCAAGGAGGGGTTGCTATGAGTTGGGATTGACCCAACAGCAGTGAGTTTGTTTGTTTTTCAGCCCTTGTTACTTGCAGAATCACTTATAATCTACCTGTAATAAGGTATTCCTTGTTGTTATTATTGGGTGTTGTCAAGTCAGTTCCAAGTCATAGCAACGCTATGTACAACAGAACGAAACACTGCCTGATCTGGCACCATCCTCACAATCATATGGATGTTTGAACCCAGGATCTTCCTCTTTTTCACTGACCCTCTACTTTACCAAGCATCATGTCCTTCTCTAGGGATTTGTGCTTCCTGATGACATGTCCAAAGTACATGAGATGAAGTCTTGCCATCCTTGCTTCTAAGAAGCCTTCTGGCAGTACTTCTCCCAAGGCAGACTTGTTTGTTCTTCTAGCAGTCCATGGTATATTCAATACTCTTTGCCAACACCATAATTCAAATGCATTGATTCTTCTTCAGCCTTCCTAACTCATTCAGCTTTCAGATGCATATAAAACAATTGAACATACCAGTGTCTTCCTTGGTGGTATTAAATTTAGAGATTAACAAATACAGATACTTTGCAAAAGTTTAGGAGCTACTCCTCGGAAGGAAGGTTGGGCAATCTACTTCCATAATGATACCACCTCGGAAACCCAAGGAGGGGTCACTATGAGTTGGATCCAACTTCACGGCAGTGAGTTTGGTTTATTTTTATTTGGTTGTGAAAATTTAGGCTAAGAAGTATCAGATGATATTCTAGTAAATTAGCATAATCTTAAAGGAAATAACTGTGAACATGTAGTACAGTATTGAGACTTCTAGAGTGTCCCCATTATTCACAATTGGCTATCAGCTCCCAGATGCAAAAGTCTTGATAGTATTTATTGATCACTAAGTATCTCCAGACCTTGTAGTGAAGAAGATAACCCACAGGACAATTGGCCTGTTAATCTGAATTTGTGAACTAATCAATATTTACTAAACAAAAGCAGAATACACATTCCTCTCAAAGGCACATGCAACTTTTACCAAGATGGACTATATTCTGGGCCATAAAACAAGTTCCAGTCAATTTAAAAAGATTCAAGTTACAAAGCATGGTTTCAGACCAGAATGGAATTAAATTAGAAATAAGTAATGGAAAGATCTCTGGAAAAATATCCCAAAATAAATAACTCATGGATCAAAGAAGAAACCCAAAGGTAAATTAGAAGGTTCTATGAACTGTATGAAAATGAACACACAATGTATTAGAATTTGTGAGACGCCACCTAAACAGTACTTAGGGGAAAATTGAGAGCACTAAATGCCTGTATTAGGAAAGAAGAAAGGTCTCAAATCAATTACTTCTGCTTACACCTTAAGAAACTGGAAAAGAAGAGAAAATTAAATCTAAAGTAAGTAGAAGGGACGAAGTAATAAGGACCCCAGTGAAATAGGAAACAGAGAAATAATAGATAAAAATCAATGAAACGAAAAGTCGATTCTTTGCAAAGATGGATAGAAGTGATTAACCTTTCTAGTGAGACTGATCAGCAAAAATAGAGAAAAAAGAACAAATGATCACAATCAGTAATCAGAGATATAACATCACTTCAAATTCTACTGATATTAAAAGGATAATAAAGAAATATTATGAACAACTTTATCACAATAAACTTGACTACTTAGATGAAATGAAAAATTACTTGAAAGACACAAAGAGAGCCTGAATAGCCTTCTATCTATTAGAGAAATTGTAGTTAAAAGCCTTCACACAAAGAAAACTTCAGGCCCAAGTGGCTTCACTCATAAGTTCTACCGAGTATTTAAGGACATAACAATTGTACACAAACTCTTTCAAAACAGATTGAAGAGGAGGGAATACTTGCCCACTTTCAGGCATTACTCTTCCTGATAAAAATTCTCAGGAAAAAAAACAAAACAACAAAAAAAACTAGGAATAGGAGGGAACT